GCTACGCCTACAATTGCAACTGTAAATTAGGCAGGAGACACTTTTTTTCTCAAAATATCTCCTAATTTACAGTAAATTAGGGCTAATTTACAGTTGCAACTGTAGAAATTTCCAGACTCGTAATGAAATATACTATATATCTATCAGGTTATCAATTTGATGAACAATAATTTCAAATCAGAAGTCGACCTGTTTTAGGATTCTTTGAAAATATATTTTATTTAACTGATGATAGTAAATTTATGAGTCGCACTGTATATGTTACCTAATATCTCACAAGTATGAAGTAATTCACGAGTTTGTTATAGTTTTCGTATTGATAACTAATCATAGTGTTAAAAGACAACGTCAATAATTCATGTGAACATAATAACTTATTTGAGATAAAAATTGAGTCTTATGCAAACAATATATAGGGTGATTCATGAGGAGATGAAAAATATTTGGCCATCTATTATGAAGAAATGATCTATCGTTATTTGCTGAAATTTGGCAGCGACGTTTCTCTATTGAAACTATTCAAGATGGCATATTATGAAGAAAAAAATACAGATCCGGACTAGAGAAGAATTCATTTTTCATTGTCATGTAAAAAAAGTTCACTTTGTGATAACTTTTCTCGAAAAATTTCATCAGATTCAGAAAGATCAAATGCCATAACAACTAGGTACTCTTCAATCTGCATGGCACACTTTGATCAATTCAATGAGAAAATATGGAACAAAAACGTTCGAATGTATTTTCAATATCGACCTGGTTGATAACTCTGGATGCATGTAAATTTCGTACATTTTTGTTGGATAGAAATTAAAGCGAGTAGGTAGCCCTGATTTATTGATGATTTGAAATGTTAGTCTTTGATAGAAATTCGATCGAGTCGTGACTCCATTTTATGAATTTGATATGAAGTAGGCCCTGTTCTCTTATTTTAATGAAAAGCTTTTATTCAACTTGCAATGTATATATATCATGAATGTATGTTTGTTCGAGTGGAATATTTGAACACAATTTTGAAGTAGATATCTTCAACCGATTGAGCTGAAATTTTGTATACTAGGTTAGTTTGGATGACAATACACGATAAGGTGTGTGACGTTATCCTAAATTCAATATGCACTTCTGCAATCTGGGTATCAAATGAAAAGGCTTGTTGAGAGTAACTCGAAAAATGATGTGACGTCATTCTGAATCCAACATGGCGGACCATATCCCAGATAGCACAGATCCGTCCCGAAAACGTCCTTAAGCCGTACATCTCGGACATTGGAAACGTCTCCAGAACGTCCATTTTAGGTACGGCGTACGCTTTCAGGGCGTTTTGAGGACATACGATGTTACACAACCAGAGGTCCCCAGGACATACGATAAAGGTCCTGTTCAGGTCTGAACGGGACTAATAATACCTGAATCAACGTAGATCCATCTTTTTTACACACATATAGTTAAAATAGAGACCTAGATAGGGTAAAACAATATTATTTTGACTAAAAAAATGAAAAAAAAGTGCTCCTACCGGGGATTGATCCTACGACCTTCACCGTGCAGATGCTCTACCTATTACTCTACAGACTTGATTATATGTCAGTATACAACAAGACATTATGTGCGAATATTGATTGATCCTTATTCACATCGGTACTTTCATAGAATTATATGATCATGGCAGAGAATACCTAAATAGATGTTTTGTGATCAGGTACGGCCAGTAAGAAAGAATTGTGAGAAATGTATTATGTTCATGTTTGCAAGGTTCCTAAATGCATAGATATCAGAGATCGAGGGTAAAATAAATTATGTGCAATGATTTCAATCATCATTACATATACAGTTTTATTCAATCTCGTCCCTTGAAAGTCGATAAAGTCCAGAGTTGGACGTACCCAGTACATCGTAATCGTACGTACCCAGTGCGTCCAGAAACGGACGTTTTCAGTACGTCTTGAGAAGGTCCCAGACGTTCAGACCCAAATCGGGCCTAAACTGGACGTCCTCAGGACGTCGAGTTCTATATGGGTACAAGATGGCATTTGCATTATTGTGTAATTTGACGAGATGGGTGTCATACTGGGAAACCTAGCCAGCGATAAATAAACAGTAGAAAATAAATTGAAAGTAAAGAAAAAACTAAAGAAAAGCTTTTACTTAATCGCTCTAAAAAGGAGAAAATAAAATGTTCCTCTTAAATTTTAACTATCAACTCATAACCTCATTATACACAATTTATATGATCATGAAAGTTTGTCGCGATAAACGATATTTAATTGAATTGAAATTTCAAAAATTAGCGATTTACTTGTGAAAATAAACTAGTAATAATTGAATTATGTAAGTTTAAATTTTCAAAATTTAAAGATAATTGAATATCGATCATTGCGACAAGCTTTTATCAAACACAATTTACATGATCCCAGTTGAAAGTAAATAGTCATCAGTCAGGTCCAAATTGAAAATTCATTCGAACTTTTTTGTTTCAGTTTATTTTTCATCGAACCGGTCGAAGTGTGCGAATTGGAAAGCAGTTTTTATGGCGTTTTGTCTGATCTTGAAAAATCTGATGAAATTTTTCGAAAAAATTGATCACAAAGTAAACTTTCTTGACATAACAATAAAACTTTGATTTGGATCTCCTCATGAATCACCCTGTATAGACACCATGGGATAAACAAAATAAATCACTGACCTTCTAGCTGATAGAAACAAATTTACAGTTATTTTGGATCTCCAACATAAATCTGCAGAGTTTCGTCATTCATCAATTCATAACAGATATTTGTCTTTACCATTAAGGCACACGGGGCCCGTGCCCAGGGCCCCCCATCCGCAAAGAGATCCCCGAAGGACCGACAATTTCTCTCACTTCCATCTAAGTATACTAATATAATAAAGAGGAAAGATTTGATTGTTTGTTTGTTAGTTAGTTGTTTGTTTGTATGTATTGAATAGGCTCCGAAATCACTTGATCGATTTGGCTCAAAATTGATGGGGAGGTAGCTTAGAACCAGGAGAAGGTTATAGGATACTTTTTATCCTGGTACCATTAGGAAACTCAAGATGGCGGATCTAATATAGCGGACGAGTTTTGTAGTTATGGTCCGATGTTATTCAACATATCTGGGGGTTTTCGGGGTCGGTGATTATGCTTCTTTCGTCAGAATTTGAAAATTCGGGCAGAATATGAAAATTAAAGATGGCGGAACCAATATGGCGGACGAGTTTTTTTATTTATAATCCGATTCTTTTCAAAACTGGCACCTTGGGGTTTTCGTGATCGGGGATTATATATGATTCCTTCGTCAAAATAAAGAAATTCAAGATGGCGGATCCAAAATGGCGGATTTTGTAATTGGGATTCGATTCTATTCAAATTTGGTACCTGGTGATTCTCGTGGTCGGAGATTATGATTCTTCCGTCTAAATTAGGAAATTCAAGATGGCGGACCCAATATGGCGGACGAATATTGTAATTATGATCCGACTCTCTTCAAAATTGTTATCTGGGTGTTTTTGGGGTAGGAGATTATGTTTTTTTTCAAAATTCGGAAAGGGCGGGATTTGGAAGTTCAAGACGGTGGAACCAATATACCGGACGAGTTCTGTAATTATATACCGATTCTATTCAAAATTTGTGAATGGGCGTTTTCGGGATCAAAAATTATGATTTTTTCGTCAAAATTGAGGAATTCAAGATGGTAGATCCAATATTGCGGACGAGTTTTGTAATTATGTTCCGATTTTATTCAAAATTTTCATCTGGGGTTTCAGGAGGCGGATATTATGATTTTTTCGTCAAAATTGGGAAATACAAGTGAACTAAAAAGAAGCTGAAATAAATGGTGATATGATAAACTAAAGAAACCTTTTATAGATGGCGAAACTAAAAAGAAGTAAAAAATGAAATAATAATAGTGTAATGAATATTGAACTGAAAAAATATATTATAGAAATAATGTATATAGCAAAACAACGTTTGCGAGGTCTGCTAGTAATTTATATTTTTGTTGATCACGCAGTAGTCGCAGTATCTAACTGCGCAACCATAAGATTTTTTGTAATATCATTAATGAATTATAATATTGTTTATTTGATCACCCAAAATTAATAGAAGATCATAATAGAATATGTTAGTATAATTCGATATCTTATATTAATTTAAGACGGCCTCGACTTCGTCCTCAAGTTTTTCGGGCTCTTCAATTATTAAATGACAGGATTGTCAAAATAAATGAAGAATAACGAGGTCTCTGCTCTGAATTAAGTGGGTCACACTCAAGGTCGTCCCCAGGATTTTTTCAGGAGGGGCAATACTATAGAGAACTGCCAATTCATTTTTTTTTCAACTCAAGAAATAAGTGGGATTTATTCACGGCCTGCTTGGACACATTGTAGATGCAAGTATAGTTCTCGGTATAGGTAGTTTGTTTTCCAACAATACTACCGATCAAGACTATGCAATACAAGAACACATTCTGAAATGTTTCATTACTTGACAACGTTGCAATAGATTCCCAATTTGTTAGCACGATTGAAAAACCAATGAAAAAGGAATCCATAGCTGGAGAAATATATAGGGCGTCTAGAAATAATATTTGATTTGAAAAAGTATATTTTAAGATGCCCTGTATTCGTGTAACCCCATGTACAAATGATTCTTCTTTTATATAGTGTGACTGAAGAACACGGTTATTTCAGGTTACGAGAATGAAGTGGACACTAAATGGACACACTGTACAGATGAAGGAGAAAGCCTTAAAAGGTACATTGTTACCGCGTTACCACATATAAAAAACAATAACGAAAATGAAACCAATCTGCAGGAAATTAATTGTATTCTATTTTTTTCTATACCTTGATTACACCCACAATGCACGATATTTTCTAAAAATAATTCACCTTTGGTCTTTGGAAGATTCCAAACAATAACAATAACATGAAAATGATGAAATGGAAATATCACGGAATCTCCAATGAAATGAAATATACTAGTTTCTAAGCCTACTCACTTTTTTCGATTTCGTAGTTCAAATAAGACGATCGCTAGATACTTTTTGATCTCATTTATCACAAGAGTAAACACTGATCAGCTGTGCACTGACTGAAACGAAACATTTAAACTGTGTTACACATGCTTATAAATTATGCTGCCCAGATGAAGTCCTTGCTCTTTTCGACACTGTTGCCAAGTTCGCTATCAATAAATACCTACCCGTTTTCATTCACTATATTATCCCTTTCATGAATTGAATTGCGCCTTATAGTAGGACAATCGAATAATTTTGATCACATCACGTCACTAAACAGTATTATTTCAATTACACAGGCTTTCAGCAGGTTCCTGCCTAGCATTTATATGACGAATCGATAACACTGAGGTTAGGCAGCCACAAACACATCACTTATTCAATTCCTGCTTGATTCCTGCTAGGCCGACTCGTTGCAGGAAGCGTGAACTGGGTCAAACCTCATACAAAGTAAGGGGCGGACTCACATAATTCTAGTGAATCTTTATATTATTATTATGCCGATTTACTATAGAAAATGCATTTTCCTACGACTACTACTGTAAGTGATGGATATTGTACACAAAACAATGGCAGTAAGCTTCTCCTTACACACGTGTGCGTAAAGAGAGCGGTCGCACGGTTTTCATAGGTATGTTGATAGATGACTTTGTTTTATTGTTGCTTATAGGCGTTGTGTCAATAACAATTAACAATTTCATCAATAGGTGGGTAGGTACTTATCTTTTTATCAATCTATCCAGCTATCCACCGAAACCGAAAGCATCAGGAAAGTTATATTTTCTGAAAATATGATTATTTTCTATTGAGAATCCTCAATTTCAGTTAAAAAAAATGATGTCAAGCGATGACGATGAGCAGATTATTTCTACACCACCAGAAATGTTGGAAAAAGCTAGAATGGTAAAAAATGAGTTGCTACCCGCTAAGTCTCGTAAATGATACGAAATAGCACATCAAAAATTCCTGGACTGGAGAATTAGAAATAATACCGTGTCATTTTCGGAAAATATCCTTTTAGTATATTTTCAAGAATTACCAAATTTCATGAAATCATCATCACTCTGGTCGATATATTCCATGTTACGATCAACACTAAATATGAATCACAATATTAATATAGCAACATATCCCATTTCCTCGAAAGGGAAGGATGGATTCCGAAGTAAAAATCAAAAATACTTAATGCTGAACAGATCAATTACTTTCTGCAAAATGCTCCTGTTGAAGGTAACTTTTCAAATAACATACATACTCAACATTGAATATTCGTTTTTCTACAAGCGTGCGTGATTCACCCTATACCCGCACGCAATTTAGTTCGGGAAGTGTCATTTTCCCGCAACAGTGCGGGAAAACAAAGATATGATAAAATCGCTAGTAATATAAGTGGTTGGTGATGGAATATAAAAGTATGAGTTTGTTTGTTGCAGTATTAAGTATGTATGTTCAGAATCATCCATCAAATTGCACTATTTATTGTAAAAATTAGGAAATATTGAGAAATAAAAATGGATTATTATAAAAATCTCCCTATAGATTTGGATTGATCTGACGGGAAACGTCAATTTGTCATGCCAATCAAACCTCAAATAAGTTTGAAATTGTCGAAGTGACAGACACAGCGTTACTGTCATTTTCGATTCAGTGGAAATGCCACAATGTGATCAAAAACTTCTAGCTATAGGGATTTGATACAGATGCGTTATCACCAACGAAGTCTTAAGAAAGGTATGAGAAGCTATACATGCGTTTATTTGAATGGTGCAACAATAAAGAAATGAAAAAACCGAATGAAGAATATGTATTTTTGGCTCATTTCATAGAAGTGTCTGGAACCTAGAGACCAAACTCCTAATGGGCCTGCTGGCTTCCGCAATGAACCAACATTAATGCGTCAAACTGTAAGTTCACAATAGCTATTACTAATAATTAATAAATAGAGAATATATATCTCTTGTTAGTTGTTCCTATTTGCTTGAATAATTAATTGAACGATTCGACCAATTTCCCATACGCTTGTAGAAAAAATATTGTTCCTAACTCATGCGGAAAGTTTCTTTCCCGCACTCGACTGCTTGCCCGAACTCCGCTTCGCGTCGTTCGTGTCAACGGCAGTCACGTGCGGGAAAGAATCACTTTCCGCACTTGTTAGGAAAATTACTATTTTCTTTAAATAACAGGAATTATTAAAAAAGATCCATTTTCGATATTATATTTATAAAATATCTACTAATACGGAGAAATGGTGGTAGCTCAGTTGTTGGAAGCATTGGCTCCAAACCCACAAAGGTCGGTGGTTCAAAGCGCAGTTGGAGAACTTTTTTTTATTATTTTTAATAACGATTACAGAATCTCTCGTGCCGCACTGTTACAAATAATTAACCATTATGAATGTTAATTTTATACAATGTGTTTTTGGCTACCTATTAATAAAGCTGTTTAGATATGAAAAACGGCTCCATTTCAGTTCGAATTGAGGAAAATGTCTTGGTATGCAATATATCAATAAACAAACACAAGAATTGTAATTTGTAACTTTTCATGCAGCTGGCTTAGTGACGGGAGACGTTTTATATTGGTATTCGTTATTTGTGCCTTAATACAATATCTGCACTATCCGTAAGTAAATATAGTGTAGTCGTAGAAAAAGTATAGTACAATTCTCGAGTTGTGAAGCAATTACGCACTTGTGGAGTTACACACTCGCCGCTATGCGGCATCGTGTGTAACTCTCTCCACTTCGTGCGTAATATGCGTTTTACAACTCTTGTTATGTAATATACTATTACGTTCAGTTTATACGAAAGCGTTGAATGTGCATACTGTTGTGTGTAATTAATTTCATCTCTGAATTTAGACTACTTGTACATTATTAGGTGTATGTGTAAACAGGGGGTGTAGAAATAAAGGTTCTCACAGGCATTTCCCAGTCAATATCGTTAAAAATGGTATTTAGATGTCCTTGCGATATGAAATCGTTGGTATTACTGTGATACCACACGGCGACACCCCATAGATATCACAATCTATAATAGTCGGATATAGATGTTCCCGCGATGTCAAATTGTTGTCATTACTGCGATATCACACTGCGACATCCCTATCGGAATTAGTGATAGCTGGATTTAGTTATCTCTGCGATGTCATATTGGTGATAATACTGCGATACCATACTGCGACAGCCCAATAATATCTAAATCAATAATAGCTGGATTACGATATGCCTGCGATGTAAAATTGTTTAGAAGCCATAGGCCTCAAACTATCATCGAAATATGTAACTTGAAAAAAAAAGTCTATGAAGAAGATGGCAGCGGTTGAGGAATCCTCAATTGAGAGGAGACTCATAGAGATGAGAATTAGAGAGCACAGAAATGCCTCCTGGAGAGCCAAGGTGAAGATTCTAGAAGTCTAGAACCCCGAGACACTCTGTGGAAGATGACCAGGAGGTTGAAGAGAACATTTACCCCTATGGTGTGTAATCGCGGGGTACCGATGTCAGATCATGAAAAGATTGAGGTTGCTTGGGAAGAACTTTCAATCTACCAATAAAATGATATCCCTGTAGGGGCAATTCAGTAGGATATGGCGGACGTAGCGATCTGAATTAGGGCTCTGCCTGCGGTGCCTCTGTCCCGCCGTGTCCTCAGTGAGTCACTCAGTAACCCGACAGAAATCTCCATCATCATCAATTATTTAAATATCAATGAGGCACCAGGACACGACGGGATAGACGTAGTTCCCCTAAAGAACCTGTCTCGCAAGGCCAGAGTCCAGCTTCATTATATAATTAATGCTATTATCAAGTACCAGCACTATCCAGAGTGCCTGAAGACTGGGCTTGTTGTACCCATTTCCAAATCAGAAAAAATTCTCAAACTTCCGTGAAGCTTCTGCCCCATATCTCTGCTCAGTGTGGTGGCAAAGGTGGTGGATAAGGTTTTACTCAGACTGATTGAGGCTCATGTCGATCGTTTGGAACTGATCCCTGCTGAACAGTTCGGGTTTCGCAAGGGACATAGCACCACGTCCCAAAAGTGGTCCGAATCGTTCATGGGGTAAAAAGAGCTTTCAATCAGGACAAAAACACTGTGATGGTCATGATGGATATCGGAACGGCTCTCCTCGACGCTGTCTGGCACGAGGGTTTAATATCCAAAATGTCTAAGGCTGGAGTACATATTTTCATCATTAGAATTGTAGATTAGTATCTCAAATCTCAACAACCGAAAAATTAAAGTCAAGGTGAATGACACTATCTCTGGAGATTTTCCACTCGAGGCAGGTGTTCCACAGGGGTCTTTTCTGTCTCTTATATTGAAATCAATTCACACGTATGACTTTTCTGTGTTTTAGAGGACGAGTGCTGCATTATATGCTGATGACACAGCGTTGTATGCGCACTCGTTCGACTCGGACATCGCCAGGACTCAGATCCAGATTCATCTGAACAAGGGGGTCATACCGTACTTTGAAGAGTCAAAGATTGGCGTGAACAACACGAAAACTGAAGTTATCAACTTCAGTAAGAAATTTACTGATAATGTGTTGCGCTGGCCTTTGACTGTGAAAGACACGGAGGTTACGGACTCAGCCGTTATGAAATACCTGGGAGTAAAGCTGGACTGTCATTTAAAAATAATCCTCTTTTGGTCCGAAACTTCGTGCTGACATTGGATAACAAGCTCTTGATCTACAAACAGATCATTACGCCTATAATGACATACGCCTGTCCGGTGCACTGCAGCGCCTCACCTACCCAAATAGTTAGATAACTGGTGCTGCAGAACAAAATTCTAGGTATTATCACAAATGGTTATCGATGCACTCGGGTGGCGGATCTCCATGAGATGTGTCAGAACATCCCTTATATCACAGAACATATGATGAAAATCTCTAACAAGTTTTATAGATTCTATGTTCAGGGTAGTGAGCTTACCAGAACCATCACTATCACTAGAGCTGAACATGAAATCTATAAAAAACACGGACTGATTTACGAGTCAACCGACGTTTTTGGGGAACCCCTAAGCGATTAGTACGATTCTCAACACGGCAAACTTGAACTGTGTAAATTTCGGGGATAATGTCCCTGAAATTCACGACAACGATATGGACTGCAGCGTGACACGAGTCTCGCTGGCGTCCGAGTAACCCCTGCTCAGGCATAAGGGAATTGAAGGCAATGAAGCAGCTGACGCTCTTGCCAGGCAAGGGTCTGCGACGTTGTTTATGGGACCTGTATTCGGTATCCCCAGAACCTCAATACGCGGCTGGCTGGCAAGGTGGATGCAAGAAAGACATCAGGCATACTGGAACAATGTCCCAGGACCAAGACACAGTAAACTGATGGTTGGAACACTGTCCAAAACAGTGACTAACGACATTCTGAGCCTAAACAGAAGTCAGATCAAACAAGTGA